CAATGTTGAAGAACAAAGTTTGGTTCCAGGTTTATCCTCCATGTCCGACATTAGCCAGAATTCAACAAATCAGATTTAATAAATTGTACTCAGCTTTATCAGTTTGATTGATTTCTAGTATTTTATAACATTGTAAATATTTCTGTCAGTCTAATGAATATAATTTTAAAGTATTTAAATGATCAAACATTATTACTTTATCAGCTATTTATGTCTGCTATCTAATCATTTTAACAATCAGCATGAAACCAGCATGAAAATGGATACAAATCATTATTTATTTTAATATTTCATAAATTTTGAAATTGTATAAGCTACTTTAATTGTAATTTACTGTTATTGCAATATGTGATGTGCAACAGTGCACAATTCTTTATTCATTGTATGGAGTCCTTCCAAGCAATTTATAAAAAAACACACCGCACTGCTTTCCCACAAAATGATAAAGACCAAAATCTGACAAAAGAGAGGCTACTGCAGGGTGAGCAGAGGCACGGTGTGAGTAAAAGCCAGAAGCCTGTCAGAAACTAGCATAAACCAGAATACCCCCGAGTTTCATAAAACTATATAAGGGAAATGTTAGTCTAATAAAAAGTTTCAATAAGTTGTTAGGATATCATTGTCTGATGCAGGAATCTTGAGATTTCTGTGAAACAAAAGTTAGAAATGGAAATTAAAACTTTTATGTAGTGTTTATTAATGAAAAACGGCTTTAAAGATTAAGCCTTTTTATAAAAATCTGCATGAACATATTTCTACCAGTTTTAGGAGAACATTCCATGTTCTCTGTGTTTTTATTTTAGGAGTCAGGCTGGTTGGTGGTCCTCATCGCTGCTCTGGGAGAGTGGAGGTGCTTCATGGAGAGACCTGGTCCACAGTGTGTGATGCTGACTTTGACCAGCAGGATGCAGAGGTTGTCTGTCGAGAGCTGGGCTGTGGGCTTCCTGTGGAGGTGCTGGGAGCAGCTGCTTTTGGCAGAGGGGAGGGTCAGGTGTGGTCAGAGGAGCTTCAGTGTAAAGGCAACGAATCTCAGATTTACCTCTGTCCAACATCATCTTCACTCAAACACGACTGCTCCCATGGCAGTGATGTGGGACTGGTGTGTGCTGGTAAAGAATTTCAAATACTTCTGTTTGTTTGTTCCCCATATCCTTTAACAAGCTATGTCACACTCTGTGGAGTGCTACATTTTGGAAATTTAAAAAAAGTATTTCTGGTATTTTTGAATTTGTAATTTGTGACCATTTATCATTTGGGGTTTAACTTTACGTACTGTGGGAGATGCATACAAATGTATAGCAAAGAAAGGCACCTTTTAGCTAAAACAACTGTCAGATTAACATTTTACTGCAAAATAGTCTGGGTTTATTTTTAAAAATGCAACTAAATATTTCTTGTTTCAGAGAAATATTGAAACACAAACACCTTACAAGATCTTCAGATAAACAGAAACATCAGTTCTTTGGGTCAGTAAATTTAACTGAAACTTTCGAAGATACTCTTCATCTGATGGTGCACTATATCAACAAAAATACTGTGTTTTTATTGTGGTATAATAATTCTTAAATATAAGTATGTTTATATTTAAATATACTTGTAGTATATGTCTATATCCTTATTATATAAGTATATAAATATAAGTCCTAAATATAATTTTTTTATTCCGGTAATTTCAGTCAGACACAACAGAATTTTTTGGTGACATTTAAAGTCCACTTTAGTCCAAAATTATACTTAAATTAGTGTTTTCTAAGATCCAGTCAGCAAAACTAATTAACCTCTTTTTTCTTTTTGTTTTATTTTTTGATGTACACTATTTATTATAACACTATTTGTACCACTGAGGGAATCGGCAAATATAACAAATATAAAAGCTCTGCCCTCAAGTGCTCAGACATGTGAGTAAACACCTACAAAAGAACAACCCGCAAATGTAATGTGTCATTACACTTGGAACATCATATAATTTGGCTCACGCAATTAGTAGCATGACTGAAAAAACCCATCATTTTAAAGTATGAAAGGTGCTATATAAATTAAGGCTTTGTTGCTAGTATTATTATTATTATTAGTAGTAGTAGTAGTAGTATTAATATTGTTGTTGTTGTTGTTGTTTCTTTACAACTTCATAATTTCATTAACACCTATATCCACTCATGCCTGAACTTTCAGTTTCTCCTTTGTCTCAAGCTTGTTGATGGCTCAATTATTTCACTCTGTCTTTTACATCCTGCACCTCACATGTGTGCGGTTAGTTGGTGGGGTTGTGTGCATTTTGCATGATAAGCTGCAGTCTTAGTAAATCTAATTCTGATTTCAGGTGTAATGTGGGCACATATTGCAGTCATATCAAGGCACATTCTGCACTGTGTCAGCACTTGTATGTACATCTGGTCCTGAATGAGAGGAGTTCATTTGATTGGATGTTGCGTTAGCACAACTATGCACACTACTTGATGCTGTAAGACTCTCACTCTCTATTTTTCTTTTTGTTGTACAGACAGTGTAAGGTTGGTGGATGGTGGCAGTCGCTGTGCTGGGAGAGTGGAGGTTCTTCATAGAGGACAGTGGGGAACGGTGTGTGATGATGGCTGGGATATGAGAGGTGCTGCAGTGGTGTGTAGAGAGCTGCGCTGTGGCGAAGCTGTAGATGCACTGAGTGATGCTCACTTTGGACCAGGATCAGGACCAATCTGGATGGATGATGTGGACTGTAGTGGATCAGAGTCAACACTGAAGAACTGTAGATCAAGAAGATGGGGTGAAAATAACTGTGATCATAGTAAGGATGCTGGAGTCATTTGCTCAGGTAAACTAAACTATATCTATACATGACTTCAGACCGTATTTAACAGCTACAGTTAAACGACTGAGTACATAAACACAACAAAAGGCATACAAATTATACATTTGATAATGGTAATACTTTAGGAGTCAGGCTGGTTGGTGGTTCTCGCTGTTCTGGGAAAGTGGAGGTGCTTCATGGAGAGACCTGGTCCACAGTATGTGATGCTGGCTTTGACCAGCAGGATGCAGAGGTTGTGTGTCGAGAGCTGGGCTGTGGGCTTCCTGTGGAGGTGCTGGGAGCAGCTGCTTTTGGCAGAGGGGAGGGTCAGGTGTGGTCAGAGGAGCTTCAGTGTAGAGGCAACGAATCTCAGATTTCCTTTTGTCCAACATCAACTTCACTCAAACACAACTGCTCCTATGACAATGATGTGGGACTGGTGTGTGCTGGTAAGAACAGCATTTTTCATAGTTATATATTTTTTTCTTAGCATGCATGCTATACTGTAATGTATGTAGGAGTTTGATATTCTATCTGTACCTTTCTATGACTCTGTGTCTTTAATCTTACTCTCATTCTTTGCACAGAGAGTGTGCGGCTGGTGGATGGTGGCAGTCGCTGTGCTGGGAGAGTGGAGGTTCTTCATAGAGGACAGTGGGGAACAGTGTGTGATGATGGCTGGGATATGAGAGATGCTGCAGTGGTGTGTAGAGAGCTGCGCTGTGGAGAGGCTGTAGATGTACTGAGTGATGCTCACTTTGGTCCAGGATCAGGACCAATCTGGATGGATGATGTGGACTGTAGTGGGTCAGAGCAGAATCTGAAACACTGTATTTCACCAGGATGGGGTCAACATAACTGTGATCATACTCAAGATGCTAATGTCATCTGCTCTGGTAAACTCATTCAATAATACACATTCTTTCATCATTTTTATTTCTATTTTATTCAATATATAAAATATTTTGTCTAGTAAACTTTTTATTAATTAAAAACGTTCATTTGAACATCCTCTTTGCTGTGATGGTAATAGGAGTCAGGCTGGTTGGTGGTTCTCGCTGCTCTGGGAGAGTGGAGGTGCTTCATGGAGAGACCTGGTCCACAGTGTGTGATACTGACTTTGACCAGCAGGATGCAGAGGTTGTGTGTCGAGAGCTGGGCTGTGGGCTTCCTGTGGAGGTGCTGGGAGCAGCTGCTTTTGGCAGAGGGGAGGGTCAGGTGTGGTCAGAGGAGCTTCAGTGTAGAGGCAATGAATCTCAGATTTACTTCTGTCCAACATCATCTTCACTCAAACACAACTGCTCCCATGACAGTGATGTGGGACTGGTGTGTGCTGGTAAGAGTTCATGCTTCAAAGTTAATCTCATTTTATTCTGAGCTACAAAAATTCAAATACTGTAAGTTGTATTATGTATTATATATCTCATGTTAATTCTAATTCTTTCTCTCTCTCTCTCTCTCTCTTCTCTCTCTCTCTCTCTCTCTCTCTCTCTTTCTCTCTCTCTCTCTGTTGTACAGACAGTGTGAGGTTGGTGAATGGTAGCAGTCACTGTGCTGGGAGAGTGGAGGTTCTTCACAGAGGACAGTGGGGAACAGTGTGTGATGATGGCTGGGATATGAGAGATGCTGCAGTGGTGTGTAGAGAGCTGCGCTGTGGAGAGGCTGTAGATGCACTGAGTGATGCTCACTTTGGTCCAGGATCAGGGCCAATCTGGATGAATAATGTTGACTGTAGTGGATCAGAGTCTACACTGAAGAACTGTAGATCATCAGGGTGGGGAAGAAATAACTGTAATCACAGTGTAGATGCTGGCATCATCTGCTCAGGTAAACTACACAAACCTTTAGAAGAATTTTTGAATTTTGATGCTAACTTTCATACTTTGCTTAACTTGCTTTTACATTTATTTATTTGTTTGGTTGTTTGTTTGTGTTAAATAATGAGTAAGAAAAATGTAATGGCTTCTGAACCTCCTACATGTCTGCTGTCTGCATAGTGGCGAAGTGTCCTGTAACGGTGGCAGATGGGACCAGACACTTACAGCAGAGGCTTGAGTTCAAAACTTTTGCTATCAAAAGGGCTATACAAACTCACAGTTGGTAAACACAAGCAGAAGGTCGAAGAGCAGGGAATCAGAACAGAACTAAAGGGCAAAACTGGAATCACAAACAGAAAACAGGTCATGCACAGAGTAGCAGAAAGTGGCACAGTAGAAATGCTCAGTACGCACATGGGAGTGGCGATACTTTGCAAAGAACTAAGCTAAAGCCTGGGATTATATACTAAACTAACAGCACAAGAAAACAAAGAACAGGTGTGGATGATTAGAAGTCAGGTGATCTGGAACTGTGATAGGTGGATCTCTGAGAGTCCTGTCACGTGCTGCAGCAAGGGGTTCTGGGAAACATAGTCCTGAGAGGCAGAGTTGGCTGTAGGCTATGACAGCCATGTCAGGAGAAGGCGTGACAAAAAAAAAAAATTACAGTATTGTCTTCAGAAACATAATAGTTCAGTTTTTTTTTTCTTCTTTTATTTCCTGACAGCCTAACCATTTTGAAGACGTCACGCAGAACAACGTTAGAAAACCAAAGAACTTCCTATCTGCTAGTTGAGACGCCAGCTGAGTAGGAGTAAATTAGCAGAATGTAGCCAACTACACTCACCTAAGAACAACCATACTGAAAGGGACAATATTAGACTAAAAACATGCACCAAAAAAGGCTACAGATTCTTAGGCATGAGAACAGACAACCAACACAAATAAACTCAACACTCTTAAAAGGTCTTGGCCCACCAATGGGCCCAAAGTTTTATTATACACTTCTCTAACCTAAGAGTAGCTCAACCAGTTCGCATTGAAATCCCTGTAGTTACTAAATAATAAGCATTAGTTTGTAATAAGCCTAGGATTTTAAGGGGTTAAAGCAATTAAGTGTATTCACAAAAAACAGAATGTACACAGAATGTGGCAGAGTAGCACAGTCTTAAGGTTAATACCAATTGTGAAAACTGAATTAAATTTCTTTAAAAAGACAATGAAAGACACAGAAGGGGATAAAACACTTGTAAGTCATCCCTGCAGTTCACAGTAACTCAATCTCAACTTGTAAGGCAGTCTAGAACAGCTCCAGGCCAACTTCACAAGTGTTTCTCAACCCTAGTCCTGGAAGTGCACCTCCCTGCTCTTTTTAGTATTTTCCCTGCTCCCAGCACACCCAATCAAACTAATCTGCTCATTATCAGCAAATTATTGAGTTAAAGTGGCAGGAAAAGCTCTAAAATGTGCAGGGACCAAGGTTTAGAAGCACTGAACTACACCACAAAATTAAAACAAAACAAGAGTCTATATCTGAAGGACCATCTCGCAGGATGACAGTACTGACATTCTCAGTTTACTATAATACTCTTACGTCCATGAACCCCCACACTTTCTATCTGATCTACACCCTCTATCCAATGGAGAAAAGGCAGAGGCTGTTTAGATCTTTACATATCAGTAGCATTTTGTACTCAATAGTACATTTCTTAACTTGGTAATATTACAAAGCTGAAGAAAATCTATTTTAGAAATAATGCTTATATGTGCAATGAAGTCATGATCTATTGTAACACCAAGGTTTTTCACAGATGTAGCTAATGCAACTGAAACGCTGTGAAGATTTAGTGTTACACCAGACAATTTGATTTTAGCAGGTTTTGGACCCAGAAGAAGAACCTCTGTTAATTGACATCCAGTCAAGTTTTTCATCAGAGGAAATTGATGCTATGTTTACTGATAACAGTGATAGCATATATAATAAAAATAATAGAGGTCCTAAAACAGAGCCTTGTGGAACACCATACTTTTGCATGTGCAGATGATTTTGTTGTTTACATTTACAAACTGATAGTGAACACTTATGTAAGATCTAAACCAGGAAAGTGCTATTCATGTTACTCCTCAAAGATTTTCTCATCTATCTAATAGGACAGTGTGGTCTATGGTGTCAAATGCTGCACTAAAATCCAGCAGAAAAACAAGCAAAGATACATTGCCTTGGTCTGAGGATAATAAGAGATCATTTACTATTTTCACCCGTGCTATCCCTGTACTATGATGATGCCTGAATTCAGACTGAAATTTTGAATTTTATGACTAATAGTTTCCATTTTATTATTGAAAACATTCATGAAATTGTTGCTGCCGTATGTTGATGGTTTCTGGATTTCAGTAGCTGTAGTACTGTTTGGTTCTTAGTTTATTTAGAAATAGAAAATCTGGGGTTATTCTTGTTATTTTCAATCAAAGAGGAGAGATAATCATGCTGCAGTAGGTGCCATTCTGTAGTCTATAAAGCTATCCTTCCAGCTGCCTTTTATGCTCTAGCTGTTGGACAGTCTGTCTTAAAGCACCAGTATGATTATTGTACCATTGATCTGGTATTTTTTTTACTTTGTTCTTTTACTTCTCTTCGTGGAGCCATATTATCTAAGGTAGCACAAAAGTATCTGTTAAGCATTTGGCCATAATCTGTAATTTTATAGGATCAGATGGGCAGCTGAGAGAAGTTGATAATTCAGAGAGGTTTTCAATAAAACTACTATCTGTGGAGGATGTTATAATACATAATATGACACAATAATACACGGAAGAACCTATATTATGACTAAAGTAGATTTCATATGAAATTAGGTAATGATCTTGGGAGAATGAATTAATGATCTATGTTGACACTAAAGGTCAAAATTAAGTTAAGGGTGTAGCTGCAATAACCAGTGAGCACCATTATATTTTAGGTGAAGCCAACATAGTCTAAGATAGATACAGACTTGCCTTACTCACCTTTTATTCATGTGTAGTATTAATGTGTCAAAATGAATATTAAGCTCTGACATTGATTACTTTATTCAAAAACATAACTAAATTTGATAGAAAGTCAGCAAATTCATTTAAGAACCCTGGAGGCCTATAGAATGTGATTAGTGAAAATGAATTCCTATTTGTAGCTCAATCAGTTATACTAAGAAAAATAATTTGAGAGAATTTGTAACCTGTTTTCTGAACCTGATTAATGCCTAAAGCATTTGGATAAATGGTTGCCATGGATCATGTCTGGCCATTTAAACAAGGACTATGTACATAATCAGTCTGTAGGGAGCAAAGTATTCTTCAGGTCTAATCCACATTTCTGTGAGGCATGAAGCATCAAAATCATGATCAGTAATGATTTCATTTACAATGACAGACTTAGATGTAAGGGATCTTATGTTAAGCAGTCTTAGTTTTAAATCAAAGTTGCTGGATAAAAAAAAATACAAATTCACCACACTATGTACACACAGAGAAAATCCAGATATCAGACAGATGTCCAACACTGGAAGAGCACTTCATGCATGTTTGGGTCTGATTTTTTGACACAGCAAATGTTTCTAGATATTTATACATGGCAACCTTTGTTGTAAGAAGTACCTGGTTTTTCAGAGACTAGGCCAGAACAGCATCCAGTCTTTGGATCCTGGTTTCATTATGCAATACTTCACTTCCTTCTGTAGCTGCTTACACTTGTTTGGTTTTAACTGCAACCCATGATTCTATAGCTGTGGGAAGACACTCTCTAGATCAGGTGTGAGGAACTCCGGTCTTAGAGGGCCAGATACCTGCACAAACACACCTGACTCAACTCAGCAGCTAATTGCCAGGCTTTGTAGGTGTGTTAGAGCAGGAAAATGATCAAACTCTGCTGGACTAAGGCCCTTCCAATCCCTGGTTTAGATGCTGCAAATAGGTGGAGAAATCTGAAAAGTACTCTATAATATCATCAAGGTACACCAAGGATTTAAAAATCTGGCCAGTCAGACATTGCTGCATCAAACACTGGAAGGTGGTGGGGCTCTGATCACAAACAAATCGGCCCAGTACTGTGGTCAAGGTGGCCAGTAAAGTATCCAGTAAATCCTAAGGACTATGTGTCATGCAAGACTTCATAGTGGAGGAAAAATTACATTATAAACATAGTTTTCACTTGTCAGTTTATTAGCAGAGTAATACGCAGCAGTTGAACACAGTTAACAAGTAAATACGCTATTTTTTAAGCTAACTAATAACAAAGCTTTCAGTTAACAATGTATTCAAAACTATTTTCTAAGCACTCAATCAGTAAATAAGTTACTAATGCTTAATAAACAGATAACTAATATAAATAATATATACAAAATGAGTATTTAATTACTTATTAGCATATAATTATCAACAAATCTGTAACCCTTAATATAAAGATTTATCTTTTTTTTTAATATGGTCCACATAGATGTGTGTGTGTGTTACATTATCTTAAAACATCATTGTTCACTTAATGTGAATAACCAAGACTTCTGTTTACTTTTGTTAAACACTCAAAGGTTACATGCTACTCTTATTTTTTGTTTTGTTCACATACATTTTAAATAATGGAATTTCCCCTGAATTGGATTTCTGTTTTTGTTGTGGTATCAAATCAGGTGTTGAAAATCATGTAATTTCTCTGGTATCAATGACCAAAGTTCTGGGGCTGTGACAGTGTGTAGGTGTGCCAGTGTTTGGTTATTTTGGTAATACTGAATTGTGTTGATTTTCTCCTGATAAAATTTTAGAAGTCAGGCTGGTTGGTGGTTCTCACTGTTCTGGAAGAGTGGAGGTGCTTCATGGAGAGACCTGGTCCACAGTTTGTGATGCTGACTTTGACCAGCAGGATGCAGAGGTTGTGTGTCGAGAGCTGGGCTGTGGGCTTCCTGTGGAGGTGCTGGGAGCAGCTGCTTTTGGCAGAGGGGAGGGTCAGGTGTGGTCAGAGGAGCTTCAGTGTAGAGGCAACGAATCTCAGATTCGCTTCTGTCCAACATCATCTTCACTTAAACATAACTGCTCCCATGACAGTGATGCGGGACTCATATGTGCTGGTAAGAAATGCTTTTGTTCAAAAGCAGTATCATATTTCAACACATTTCATTTCAACATTTTAACATCTCACTCTCTCTCATGTAGACAGTGTGCGGTTGGTGGATGGAGGCAGTCGCTGTGCTGGGAAAATAGAGGTTCTTCATAGAGGACAGTGGGGAACAGTTTGTTATTTTGGCTGGCATTTGACAGCATCTGCAATGGTGTGTAGAGAGCTAAATTGTGGGGAGCCACAGATTATTGAACCTTCTAGATCAGAATCAGGACTAATCTGGATGAGTGATGTGGGGTGCAGTGGATCGGAGTCTACACTGAAGAACTGTGGATCAACGGGGTGGGAAGAAAGTGACTGTGCATTTAACATTGATGTTAAACTCATTTGTTCAGGTACGCATCAATTTAGTTTAAAGTCAATTACACACTTTTTACAATAGCAGGGGCCTTTGTTTTACCCATAAAATGGATTAAAGCTTGAAAATGATTAACTTATGTTCAGATCAGCATAAAATATCAAATTTAATCTTGGAACTAGATTAAATAAATTATTATTTTATTATTGTATTTTTTTTGTAATAAAATGTGCTTAAGAGGAATATAATTCAAATATATGCAGGTCACAAAAAGGTCAGGCTCACTGATGGTCATCATCCATGCTCTGGGAGAGTGGAGGTGTTTCATAGAGAGACCTGGTCCACAGTGTGTGATGCTGACTTTGACCAGCAGGATGCAGAGGTTGTGTGTCGAGAGCTGGGCTGTGGGCTTCCTGTGGAGGTGCTGGGAGCAGCTGCTTTTGGCAGAGGGGAGGGTCAGGTGTGGTCAGAGGAGCTTCAGTGTAGAGGGGATGAATCTGGGATTTCAATCTGTCCAACATCATCGTCATACAAACACAACTGCACCCATGACAGTGATGTGGGATTAAAATGTTCTGGTAAAGTACAGAATCTGAACATTCAAATATTTTAAATCAATAACATACTTGTTGTGAAAGATATATTTGTCTGTAATCTGTGAACTACTGTTTTAATAAGCTCCAAGTTGTGTGTTTAGGTCACACTCAGGCTCTGCTGGTGAACAGTTCTGACTCCTGTTCTGGTCGTGTGGAACTCCAGTACCTCAGTGAGTGGGGCACAGTGTGTGATGTAAGCTGGGATATAAGAGCTGCCAGTGTCCTCTGTGGTCAGCTGAAGTGTGGGAGTGCTGTGGCTGTGTTGGGGTCAGACTGGTTTGGGGAGGGGAGTGGCCGGATCTGGGCTGATGTGTTTGATTGTCAGGGGAACGAAAAACACCTGTCAGAATGTCCCATTTCATCATGGAGTCGAACTGCATGCTCTCATAAACAGGATGCTGGAGTCATCTGCAGTGGTGAGCTCTAAAATTGTCAACTGTGTCTTAGAGTAATATACATTGTGTTAGAAAATGAATATGTAACTATGGCACCCTCAGTCAAATATAAAGTATTTTATTTAAAGTGATCATTTTTCCGTTCAGGTTCCTCTCTGGCATTTCATGAGGGGCGAGTGCGGTTGTCTGGAGGGATGGAGTGTGAGGGGGAGGTGGAGGTATACTTCAGACAGGACTGGAGGAGAGTTCTGCTGGACTCCTGGAGTGAGTCTGAGGCCTCTGTGGTCTGCAGACAGCTGGGCTGTGGCTCTGTGTTGAGCTTCTCCAGCTCCTCTCCATTCAGTCCTGATCACAGACACATGTGTGTGATGGGTTTTAGTTGTTCTGGGACTGAAACTCATCTGGGGAACTGCAGCAGCGCACAAGCAGTCAACTGCAGCTCCAGAGAACAGCTCTCAATCACCTGCTCTGGTCAGTATTTTAACTGTTTTAAATAATTCTCAATTTAAAAATATGACCATGCCATGTGACCATGCCACAAAAGAACTGAGTTTATAACAAGGGAGAATAACTCAACAGCTTAGAATGATAAGGTTCTATCTGCATTCAGTGCATATTTGAGATATTGAAAGTCAAAGATTTAACTTTCAAAATATGACTTTCATATCCTAACAAAGTAATAGAGTGTGTTTACATGCACATTATTGATGCTGAAACGTTTTAAAAAAAAATGATTATGTTTAATGCAAGATGATATTTGAGTGTTACAGCACATTTATGATTACATTTTTTCCTATTATCTGATTAACTAAGTGCACGTAAACACCTTGAACAAATTACTGACAGCATATGATCTTCTGCAGTTATCAGATTATTAAATACATGTAAACTCACTCATTGTCTTGAGATACTTTTAACCAGGGGAGCTTTAGCTTGTTCATTGGCCATGGGAGTTGCATGTGGTTGTGGGCCCTACAGGTCTAGCATCCAAACACTCAAAACGTGTATTCTTAATGAAGGTGTACACACTGCTGCCACTAGTCAGTGACTTTCAGCACTGCCATTCATTAACTCTCCATTACTGCAAGAAACCCAGAACCAAAACACAAAAAGCAATGGTCAGTCAAGCTTTGAAATTTGCTCTGAGAAGGCAGTCAATTCCCAAATGAAACTGAAGTTAGCTTCTGATTTCCAGGTTCCTCATCTCTGTTCCACCTTAAACGGTGCTGCAGTCACAGTCTAGCACCTGTAACTGCTCCACCATATAAAGTGAAATGGAAAATTTGAATAAGAACCTTGTGAATAGGATGACAGTTACAGCCTCACTCACACCTTTTAGCTAAAAATAGTCAATTGGAGGAGAGTTTCTTAGCTGATACGTGATAAATCCATTAAATTTATCAAAATTGATTTTTGATGTTCACATGCACATTTGCCATGACAGAACCAAGTTGAGATATACAAAGGCAGGGGAAAAAAACACAACAAAATTAAAAACCTACACCGAATCATTCTAGGTTAAAGCATACTGACACGATGGGAGGACCCACTGAAATAAAATAAGAGAGCTGAGATGGGCAAAGACGAGGAGAAACAACACAGCAAACTTCAAAACCTAAACTTAGTCATCAAAGGAAAAAAAACTTATTGGCACACTGGACATTAAATATGTTTATTGTCCATTCATGTCTTACCCTTGAGGTACAAAATTAACTTTGGGTGTTTACTTTGACATCACAAAGCTCAGTTCAACCATTGTAGGGCAAAATGAGCAACAGGTAATAGGGAAAGAACTCACAACTCGGGCGAGGGAGTTCCTGCTGGCTAGGAGGGGAATGACCAGGCATGTGTGTGTGTGTGCATGTAGGTAATTCAGCTCACAGCTCCATCAGGCTGGTTGGTTCTGGGGGAGACTGTGCAGGAAGGCTGGAGGTTTTCCACAGCGGCTCATGGGGGACAGTGTGTGATGACTTGTGGGATATTGAGGATGCTCAGGTGGTCTGTAGACAGCTGCAGTGTGGAGTGGCCCTCAGTGCGCTGGTACCAGCTCAGTTTGGACCTGGAACTGGACCCATATGGCTGAATGAGGTGGAGTGTGAGGGGAACGAGACGTCTCTGTGGAACTGCAGATTTCATCTGTGTGGAGAGGATGAATGTGGACACAAGGAGGATGTTGGGGTCGTGTGCTCAGGTAAATTGTGATGACTGCTGCTGTCCTTCAGATTTTCAACCTATTTTAGTTTCTTTTGGTCATCTCTGAAACTGACAACAATAGTCACTGCTTCACATACAGCAAATATTACATTTCAATAGTTTTGAGATTTAATGTACAAACCCAATTCCAAAAACATTGGGACCATGGGGGAAATGCAAATAAAATCAGAAAGCAGTGATTTAGAAATCTAATTTGAGCTGTATTTGAATGAAAACAGTACACAGACGAGATATGTAATGTGTTATCTTGACAACTTCACTGTTTTTGTAAACATACACTCATTCTGAAACTGATGTTTGACATATGTTCCAAAAAAGTTGGGGCAGGGGCAATTCAGGACTAGAAAGAACGAGTGATGCATAAAAGCTTGAGTATAAAAGAAGCAACCAGGAAAGGCTTTTATGAGCAAGAATGAGTTGAGGCTCCCCACTTTGTCCAAAATGCATCAGTAGAAAATCCAACAGTTTAACAATAATGTTCCCGAGTGAGCAATTGCAAGGATTTTACATATATCACCCTCCACGGTGCATAATAACATCAAACAACTCACAAAATCCAGACAAATCTCAGCGCGTAAAAAGGAAAAGGCTAAAAACCACAACTGAACACCCATGACCTTCGACCCCTCTTATAACACTGCATTAAAACACACTTCCGTAATTGATATCACTACAGGGGCTTGAGAATACTTTGACAAACCGTTGTCAATAAACACCATCTATTGCTGCATCCAAAAATGTAAATTAAGACTGTACTATGCACAGTGGAAGTCATATGTCAACAACATCCAGAAATGCTGGACTTCTCTGGGCTTGAGCTCATCTGAAATGGAAAATTGTGGAAAATTGTTTATGGAAATAATGGACATTTTGTTTTCAGGACCAAAGAAGAAACAGACCATCCTGATTGTTACCAGCGTAAAGTTCAAAATCCAGTGTTTATCATGGTATGGATGTGTATTAGTGTGTAACTTGCACATCTGTGACAGCACCATTAATGTTGAACACATTCTGAGCAACATATGCTGGCTTTAAGATGCCGTCTTTTTCAGGAATATCCACGGTTGTTTCAACATGTCAACACCAAGAATCATTCTGCATATGTGAAAACAGCACGGCTGCATAATCAGAGAGTGCAGGTTCTAGATTGAGTGTAGTAGACTACACCTGAGTGTAGTCTAGACCCGTCTCCTATAGAAAATGTGTACAAAACCAACAACAAAGGTCCCAAACGGTTGTGCAGCTGAAAACTTTTATAACTGAAGAATGGCAAACAAATTCTGCTTTCAAAATTGGTTCAGTTTGTGTCTTCAGTCCCCAAATGATTAAGTGCTGTTAAAAGGAAAGACACAGTGGCAAACATGCTAATGTCCCAACTTTTTTGGAAAGTGTTGCAGGCATCAAATTTGGAATAAGTGCAAACATAAAATATTGTGTTTTTGTACCATTTACTATTTAATATGGGTCAAACGGAATTTACTAATCACTGCTTTCTGTTTTATTATCATATTGCAAACTGTCCCAACTGTTTTAGAAATGGGTTTATAGAAAAATGTTATTGTTTTTTTTTACTGATATTTTAATTACCAGTATGTGGATTGTTTTGAGGGTGTAATGGATGAGATCTCTTTCATCTGAGAAGCAGCAGGCTAATTCTAAAGTGCTCCTTGTATTCAGTGTCTATCATTTTTGTTGCACCAGAGTTTAAAGAGTTCAGACTCACTGAGGGCTGTGAGGGGAATCTGGAAGTGTTCTACAATGGAACCTGGGGAAATGTGTGTGTAAATGAGATGACTGGAGAAACAGCAAGTTTGATTTGTCAAGAGATGAGCTGCGGAAGATCTGGCCATGAACAGGGTGTCAGAGCAAAGGTGGAATCAGCTCCTAACTGGCTGGATAATATGCAATGTCGGAAACATGACTTCACTCTGTGGCAGTGTCCATCTTCACCCTGGGGACACAACAAGTGTGACAGTCACAGTGAGGTGGCTCACATTACTTGCTCAGGTAGGTTGTACTTCTTGGACTTGTAGGACTAGATGCTTCCATAAAAAGAATATTTCGTAATGCTTTATTTGAAGACTATCTACATTGGAACTTCATAACACATTTATAAGCATTGAATGACATATTTAAAAGTAAGACTTTTAAGAAGTGTTTCATAAATCAATGGCATTGTTTTAACATAAGGGGTTAACCCTTACAAATACCAGTACCGGCAATTTCAGGAAACTTTGCTGAGCTGAGACAAACATTTTGCAACAGTGTCAAGCAAGCACTCCTTTTAGTAGCTAAAGCATATTTAGCAATAGTAAGTTTTTACAGATAGACTGCCTTTCCTTGTTTACAACAAATAACAATGTTTAACATTGTTTCCTAGCAATGAATATTACAGCCTACTAGGCTATATAGATCACTATGTCATACCCATGCAGTTAAAAGCTGCACACTTAAGAACTCTCCGTAGCTGTGATTTCACAAGACTAACAATTTTAAACATAATTCATGTTGAAGATCTGAGGGATCATTGTGTTACGGCAGCAGTTAGAATCACAATCGGAGGCCACTGTGGGGTCTGGAGGGTTATTAAACATAAACTGTCAATGTTTAATTGTTCCTACATTATTTTACTGTACACAGGAGAAGAAAATCATCTTGTGCTACAAAGCCATCTGTCTTCATTTCCCCACCAGAAACAGCGTTCAAGTAAGAACAAAATACAAAATACAAGAGTTCAGTCTTAGCGTGTTCCTGCACAGCAAGGCTTAGTGCACATCATTACTGTGAACATTCTTGACTGTTTTGACAAGTATAGTTTGGGTTCAGTATTCAGTTTTTGCCAAATATCTTTCTATGGGATAAATACACACTAATGCAACTTTACTGTATTGTGAGTTCTTTAACTTCTTGTGTGGTGTTGGTGATTCAGAGGACCTGCCTCTCAGGCTGAGAGGAACTGAGGAAAGCTGCTCTGGGAGGCTGGAGGTGTATCATAACGCTAAGTGGGGGTCTGTCTGCGATGATCTGTGGGACATCAGGGATGCTCAGGTGGTCTGCAGGCAGCTGGGCTGTGGGCCGGCGCTGAGCGCTGATGGGAGTGCTGTCTTTGGGGCTGGTGAAGGGCCTATCTGGCTGAACAGAGTGAAGTGTAGAGGGAATGAGATTCACCTGTGGGACTGTCCTCATTCCCTGAAGAACCACACTGACTGCTCCCACAGGCAGGACGCTGGAGTCACCTGTGCAGGTCAGAAGGGCCTGTTGGATTTCAGGGTTTTAGATCCAATCAACATCTTTTCTCTTAGTGTTAACTGTCTGTAAGGCAACTATGATTACTTTCATCAGTGTCCTCTGAAGTTGTTTTGAGAGAGAGTTGACACCCAAAATTCTTTCCTCCTGACATGAACATTTAATCATTTTGTCTTGCTAGTCTTTAATAGAGACTAGAAAGCTATAGAGCTGTCTTCACAATGGGAAATTATTGTATGAAAAAATCACTGGCTGTAACACTTTTGGTGTTGACATGAAAAAATACACAATACACACATTGTTATGTAACATAGCTGACTTCTGACATATAGCCATGTAGAATAAACATTTGAGATAGTGCCTAGAGTGCCCATGGGAAACTCCTTTTAAAAATAAAAATACCATTGACAACAACTGCCCATTGCCTTGCTTGTTAAATATGCATTGACATTTTATGAAAAATGTCTAGTGAGAACACACTCAGAATTTTATTCCAACATTTATGGAATGCTCAATTTGAGCACTACATTAAGTCACAGTCTATAAATAAAAAACACAGTTTTTACATGTGTGGCAAGTTCTCTTGTTGTCTGCTTATTTTGCGTCTCTTCTTACAGTGTTTCATACTTATCTTTTTTGCAGTTTTACTTTCAGTTGGTCAGACAGTGGAGAGAACAACTACACCTCCAGAAACTAAATCACCAGCTGTTCCCTACACCTATCCAGTGCCTCTCCTGGTTCTGGGAGTGGTGCTTTTACTGGCCTTAGTGCTTCTCGTTGTGCTGTTTTACCAGAATAGAGTGCTCAGTAGAGGTAGGGACATTCAGACATTATCTGCATTTTTCAGTCTGTTGTCAGTTTCCTCTTGCAACATTAGACAAAGTTTCTCTCTGTTTCCTTCACAGTTCTCTCTAAGAGGAGGCATAAGATTCTACATGAGGCAGTCTATGAGGAGATTGACACTAAAAGAAGAATTCAAAGGGGTAAATAATATATTGAGTGTTCTACTAGATGTAATCCCAGAAGACACACAGTAATCAGAGAAAATTATATTATACACTGACTGAAGAAATGTTTTCTCACAGTTACCCAGTTCATCATCGTGTGTATGTCTTTAAGGGTGCTAGCTTAAAAACCATGTAAATCTGGGTAGACATATGTACATACATAGGAGCTACAGATATACCATATAGTTATACTACTATGTAGTTGATGGTACTTGTTTATACTTCTGATACACTTTTATATCTACATGTCTACAGTGGCCTGATTTAGATCACGAGTATATTGCAGCGGAATAACAAGGAAAATTAAAGCATGGACGCATTTTAATTCACACAATCATATCCTCTCTCCACCGTGTTGTCAGGCAGTTGTAAACAAACTGATTCTCTATGAATCGCCTGAGCCTGCATCGCATGGAATTTCTGGTAAAAAAAAAACAAAAAACTTTTGCTTGGCCTACATTAACACAGGCTTCACCAAAGGCTAAGCTAGTTGTGCATAAAAGGCACTTGTGAGCAGCTCTTTGACATTAAAATGAAATAATGGAACAACCTACATGTTGGGCATGTGCAAATCAGGACTGCAAGACCACAAGTTTTTGGGACAGGGCCTACAATTTATGGGAGAAAAGTTTGTGAGTAGTTTTGCTTTCTGAACGTGTTTGATGACTGTTCTACTCTCCTCTATCAGGAAGTATCCTCTCTGAAGAACAGCATTCAGGATATGAGGATGTGGACGAGAAACTTCTCTCAGGTAAGAGACCTGAACATGTGTGTGTGTCACATCTGAATATTATAGTGCAATATTAGACTTGTAATAATAGAAAAAAGTATAAATAATCAAATGACTGAACTAGCCAGTACTTCTAGGCAGTAAAAGCAGCCTTTTTGGATGTGATATTTGTTTTATTATGAGTGATAGAAAAAATCACTTTCTTCTTTCTCTTTCAGCAAATGTTATAAATGATGAAAAGGCTGAGTATTATGATGATGCTTCCACCACAAGTGGCCTGAGAAAGTGAGTGCCTTTATACTGAGGACTTCATTCATACAGGCTTTCTGAAGTGGTGACTGGTCTCTTAAAAAAAGCTATCTCATGTTTGATTTAGGTAAAGTGGAAATAGAAGACACAGCAGAGAACTATGATGATGCCATCACTGCTGGAGTGACACCAAATAGTGAAGCAAGTATGTTTCCATTTTGTAATTTTATTTATTGTGACATTAACTAGATTTGGTAAGGAAATACAGAGCTTACAGGGCAAGAAAATAATAGTCTTTAAAGTTTATGCAACAACATAGCGTAAAAAGTTTTAAAGTAAAGGGACTGTGTACATTTTAATAGTTCACATCTTGCATTAAATTAGAAATGGGAGAAATGAGAGTTGTCCTTTACGCCGAGACAATAGGAACAAGAATTAAATTCTTAAACTCTTTACATTATTCTTAAACAACAAACAGTCTTTTTAACTATTGGTTTGGTAAGCTTGGGTGGGCCTGAAGTGCTAGTTGCATGTCATAAAACAACCTGCAGAATCACTTAGTCCCTTGTAAACATCCTGGGCTGCACCCGTTGTGTTGTTCCCATTCCTGTAAGGCTTGATGCTTACACTGCAAATCCCATAGGGCTGCTTGCAGACATAAGCATTACTATGGCAGGGATAAACAGAAGGTTAACAAACGTTCATGAAATGTCTCCTAGCCATGCATATGATTGCATAGCCAACCTCTACTAGCACCTCTATGGGATGTGCAATGGTAGCATCAAGCTGGTGTTTCCACGAGAGACACAAGATGTGTGGAGGAAGTTAGAGCCCATGCATCACCCTATTGATATGTCTCAGGATAACAGAGCACAAGGAAAGCATCAATAAAGCAAAGCATAAGAATAAACAGCAGCAAAGTCAAGAGGCCCTGGAATCGTCCTAATGCCCCCCCCCATTTCAATACCCCTGATTGAGGCAGAGATACCTATTAACCATGGATATAGTCACATATACAGAATATAACTGTTAGTGCTTTCCTGCAACCAAGACGTATATTGTTGCATGGCCTATCATGTTGCATCAGTGGTGTTATAGGGGAAGCTAGCCCTTCCTTCCCAGCATGGTAGCTATGGCATATTGAGGGAGATTACAGCTGGTAATTGGCTATCACTAATAAATTACAATTGTAATATTTGCTGACCAGAACTGAGGAACTGTGACAGATGTGCATTGTAATTTTACATATATTGACACATGTGACTCTGGATAGAGTTCAAGATGGAGATCTATGATGATGCCATTTCTGCTGGAGAGACCCCAAGCCTTATAGGTTTGTTTTTCTTAAAATGACAAAATTGTTGTGAGCATGAGCATCAGTAGACTAATAATGCTTATTATTATATTATAATAATATATTATAATATATTATTATATTATTATTATGATTTGTTGTGCATCAAAATGTGTCTGCATATGTTGTTGTAGGGCTCACACCAGAAAACTATGATGATGTCGTCACTCCTGGACACGATTTAGGAGATTTAGCAGGTAATTTAGCATAGTTTACTAGAGAAAGTTCACTTAAGTGGAGACACATTAAACAGTATTTTTTTATCAGTACTTGCACTCATCATGTGCACTGTGTATTGTTAGTTTAACATGTACTGGCACCACTCTGTTGATGCACATTTGATGTCATTTTGAATACCTAAGGTGGTATAATTATGCTCTTTCCTTTACTTTTAGGCTATGATGATGTGTTAGAAGAGCCTCAGAGAGAGGGGTAGACAAGGTGACCATGAGATCCAGTGCTTCTGCTCAGGAAATGACATTTGAGTTTTTTGAAATCCAAGCACTGATTAAACTGTATCACAATTTTCAATGTTTTTTTTTTTCTTTAATGTTTTATGTAATTTTGGTACATTTTTGGAATTAATGTCTAAGCAAGGAAGCAGTATAAAATGTTCAATCAGTATTCAATATTTTCTCTTTGTCTGACTGAAACTGTCTATTAAAACTTTCTTTAACTTCTAGACTTGGCTGTGTATTGTAAGAAGTAAATGAATCACTCTTCATACATCACTCTTCAGAAATACATTTTACATGTGCAACATTTCAGCCAAGGATATGAAACGATTCAAAATTCAGTTGAAATTCAAAAAAAACTCAAAACTGCAAAACATACTGGCCACAGAAAACCAGAAAACAAATATCTGACCTAGCTAATACAGGTGATGATGAAGGCCTGTTTGGCTGGAACCATTTGTTAAATCAAACTCCAGAGAGTGATGCATGAGGCTTTGTTCACTTTTTTTATTAAAAATTTTAAACGACCTTTTATGGAGTGTTTTCTCCTCTTGTTCAAGATGAAATATCTTTAACATGAGTTGTAAGAGAGAATGCATATAGCAAGTCTTTTAATAAAATGTGATTTTGTCATACCTAAAATGTTCTGGTGGAATTATCCTTTGATTATACTTTGGTTACATCTCTGTGGCTGCAAAGTTCCTTGACATCCTTGACAGAGTGCTTAAAAATAGAAAATATGGAGACTATAGGAGAGGAAATAGAAAGTATATATCATGCATACATACATGCAGAGGGCAAAGAAGATGGGATTTGGACAACAGTTTTGAGGATGAACACATACTCATATGGCTCTGGCATAGGGCCATATGAAGTTGTTTTGCATCCTGATAGTTTAAGACCTCTAGGACCAAAAAAT